AAATAGATATAAATAAAACTGTAAAAATATTGTTCATTTTGTTTAATATTTCAGTGAATATGTTTGCGTTGTACATTATACTTTGTTGAGAAATAAAAATGTGAGATTCATGTCGGAAAATTTGATGATCAAAAGTACATTTACTCTTATATATAGTATATATGGTAGCAAAATTTATGTAGTAAGGAGCTTGTAGCAAGATTGCATAAGAAATCATCAGATCTTATAAAAGATCTCGTAAGATGTCTTTCACCTGGAACCTAATAAACTGTTGTCTCGTTTGTTTTAGTGTTAAAATTTAAGAGATATGGGCTGTAAACAGGTCAAAATATATCCAACTGCCAACGATTCACAAACAACGACTAGTACTTCTAAAAGTACCAGAAAAACGTCAGATATAGATTTGAGTTCGTTAGATCCAAATGCGTTTAATTCTAAACTATGCCAACAACGACAAAATGCTATCGATAACATGACATATCGCAGAACAATCGATAGCTGGACGGCTAGTTCTATTCAACAGTTAGTCAATTATATCAAAGAATTTTCTTCAAATAAAAATACAGTTGACAAAGCTTGGATCATCTTTTATTGGATATCTCAAAATATCAGTTATGATGATGCATCGTATTTTAGTGGACGCATTCCTACTCAAGCTACTGAAAATGTATTTCAAAGTAAAAAAGCCGTTTGTGAAGGTTATGCATGTTTATTTAAAAAATTGTGTGATGAAATTGGATTAAAATGTGAAAAAATTAGCGGTTATGCTAAAGGTTATTCGTATAATCCACGAAAATCAGCATTCGACGATGTAAATCATGCATGGAACGTTCTACAGATCGATGATCACTGGTATTTTATTGAAGCAACCTGGGGATCAGGACACATAGAAAAAGGCAAAAGGTTTAAGAAAGAACTTGATACACATAATTTTTTTTGTCGTCCTGAACATATGATTTACAAGCATTTACCTACCGATAATAAATGGCAGTTATTAGCTAGACCAATAACCATGAATGAATATTTACGTCTACCTAATACCCATTCAGCATTTTTTGAATTAGGGCTCGAAATAGTCACGCCAAAATATTCACAAACTGTTCATTTACAATCAGGTAAATCGTATGCCGAGCTATTAGTTAAAACGCCAGATGATGTTGAGTTATTAGGTTCCTTGAAGGATTCACTCGAAGGAGAAGATATTGAAGGAGCTGCTCAGGTATATTTCGACCGTCAGAAATCACTCTGGATATGCCAGTTTGCACCGCAGCGTAATGGTATGCACAATATTACAATTTTTGCTAAAAAAAAAACATCACCAGGGTCATTTCATGGAGCAATCGAATTTATACTTGATGTTAAAGATTTGAAAACGTTTAACAGCTATCCACATACTTGGTCACATTTTTATGAATACGGATTACAAATTGTTGCACCAAATAACAGTAGGTCAGCTGTTTGGCCAGTTGGTGCATCATATTGCGAAATTCTTATTCACTCACCAGAAAATGTACTGCTATCAGGTGATATCAAATATGATGATCAAACAATCGAACAAGGTAATCTAGTACAATATGATATTGAGAAAAGAATTTGGCAATGTCTTTTTGCACCCACACACACTGGTTTACATAAAATTACAATTTTTGCTAAAAATGTGAAAGATGGTGATGTTTCACATTGTGCTGTTCGATTCGACTTAAATGTAAACGAATTAAAACAACCTATGTCCTTTCCTTTGACGTATGGTGGATTTCAAGAAAGAAAATGTAAAATATACGAGCCACTCAATGGTATACTGAAAAGAAACACAGACGTCACTTTTTATTGTCGTATACCCGATGCAAAAGAAGTGAATTTAACCGTCGATTCTAATTGGTTAGTTGCTGAAGGATATGAGAAAAACGTGCTGAAGCGCACAATTAAAGTGGGAACACAAGATGTTTCAGTATGGACAAAATATGGTAATAGTTATACGGGAGTTTTAAAATATAAGGTCACATAAATTCTTTTATGACTGTAATTCGTACCGGCAACTTTCATTCCCGAAATTTCAATCAATTATGAAACACTCAAAAATTGTTAGTGAACTATAAAAGCTTTCGGACGATCACCAATGGAAATTGTTAAACAGAAATTTCGATATGTTCCTTAAAAATCGCTTCAAAATTGTCGCGGAAGTACGTAATCAATTCCAACATGAGAATTTTGTAGAAAAAAAAGTCTCAATATTTATTCTATGGTTGATTCATTTTTGAAAATACAATAAAATCAGAAACTGTGAGAATTGTCACAATGCTCTTTGCAATTGACGAGATTCAGAATGTGTAGAAATTCTTCTTCGAGTTTTTGATATTTTCTATCTTAGAACGATTTATTTGTTATTGCTATTCTCTTGGATAAAGGAAAATGAAGGATAGATCTTACGAAATATCTGATACTCAGAGCCAATATTTATTGATCGATAAAAGTTACATAATCGTTAATATTACCGAATTAGTCATTGGGGAAACAGCAGACTTTGAACTTTTCGACTTTTATGGATTTTAATGGACTTACATGGATGGACCTAGATGAACTTTGAAAGTCTACCAAAGTTCAAATTACATAGTACAATGGACTTTTCAAGTCCAATAAAGTCTGTAAAGGCCAGACAAGTCCATCTAAGTCGATGTAAGTCGTTAGAAGTCTACACAGATCCATAAAAGTCAATCCATGGGCTTACGTAAACTTTGACTGATTTTGAAAGTCCATAACTAGACTTAAGTCTGGTTCCCCTCCCCTCCTCCCGCTCCCCCATGGAATTAGTTCAATTTTTCACATTTTCTGTATTGATCTTTAATGAATACACCTTAAGTTCTTCAGTTCCTTCTCAATTTTTCTCAAATGCTTCTCTCCATTATTATTATGTCATTGTTTTTTAATATCTGTGATGTAACTGATATTATTAGTTATATAGGAGAGAGGACGCTTTCTTAAGAAGTTAGGTTTTGTTGATTTTCAAAAACGTTTTACGTATAGAATGATAGGTATTGAAGAGATCTGTTGTTTGGTATATCACACTATGAAAAATTATTACAGTGTTGTTCTTCTATATGGATTATACTGATATGATGAGAGTAACACACGTCAACTATAATTTAACGGTTTCATGAAGACAAAACTGTTATTCACTTTGTGTCATATACTATGAGATGCATCTTGAAGAGACCTACAAAATGGTATGTAGTTGAAGAAAAATAAATTGTGTCTGGCATACTTTCTGTCTAATAGGACCAAAAAAATCAAAATTCTGCCCTTAATCTGCAATTTTTCGAATCAGAACTCACCTTATATGCAACAAAACTACCATATTCGAAATCAGCATCAAAAATTGAATGGAATGGTGTACTTACTGTTATAACGGTATAGGATATCTCACTTCAATTTCTTCTGAATTTTCCTGTCGAATAATTACTGAGGTTTTCGCCAAAAAAATGAAAATCAACAAAAATTTTCGAAATATATATCGTACGTCAAAAATGTTCTTGTTACGTTGTGTCTTTGTTCTGTGCAGCAATTATATAAATCTAAAAAGTTTTCTGGACACTCTCTGAAAATCTCAAGGGAACTGGAAGTATTTCGAATCGATTCGCTATGATAGACTATCTATATTCTGTAAATTATGTTATTCGTAGACGACTTTTTTGTTATTAAAACTGATGGATTTATGACGACATCTATGTTCCTGACTACAGAAAAAGTTTGCTTAGCTTTTTTTCTCTCTTCATGAGTGAGTATTTCAGGTCATCTCTTTAAATATCTTGTTTCTTGTGGTTAAAAAGAACTTTATATTTTCCTCCCTTATGATTGACTTGTCCATAGAATATTTCACAGCCATTTTCCGTATTTTGTGCACAGACATATAGACGGTCAAACCAATGCATCCAAAAGTTTCTATCCAAAAACGTGACAATCGCTGAGATTTGTGGACAAAATTTATGAATGTCCTGGTTGAACCTACATAGACATTTTATAAGACTCTAGACTAAAGTCAAGGGAACAAGGTAGTGTACGGTAGGTTTACCTGGCTGATGCGCATGGCCGTAACCAGAATTTTGATATGGCGCGGGCATCTGGAAAAAAATTTCATCTTTACTAGTCCGAATTGCCTGTGGGAGATTTTCATTCAGAAAGCTATTACCTTATTATTAATAAGACTCTAGCGAAGGAAGTTCATGAACAGACTCTGCCTGAAAAATCATTTTCTTTACTTAACTTCATAAATTAAAATATAAAAACAAGTGGTTTAAATGTGTGTCACACATGATCTTCATGTGAATATGACTAAATATGTACAGTCACTCTAACTATCAGTATTTCTCTTTTTCTTCTCATTGAATCATGGTCTAAACCGCTTGTTTGATTGTTAATTTATAAAGTTAACTAGAGAAAGGGATTTTTCTGGTTGTTATATACTTTCACCACTATTGAGCACTTTATTGTTTAAAGCAGAAGACTATAACACCACTTGCAGACAAACACAGAAAAAATTTCTGTTGTCGAATATTATTAATTAGATGTACACTCACTATAGTGAAGTCCCAAGGCGTAGGCATATGCCCTGTGTGTCTACCGCCTGGTTACGGCCTTGTTGATGCGTAACGCAAAAAAATATGAAATGAGAAAAGAAGAAAACAAAGTGGTGCAATATAAGAAAAAATTATCCAAGTGCTGAAAAAGCATCGCTTAATCAATCCTCAGTTCCTTGGTCGATGCAACTATGATAGATATTGCCCATGAATTAACATTTGTATCGGATTGAGTTTGGTGCATGCAGAAAAAGTGCACTTTTTCCAGAAAAGAATGGTAATATTATCAGTCTTGCAGATTAATGAATAAATCATAGTTTACATCTTCAACTAAATATTTTGTTTTCGTCTAGGATGTGGCTATGAGATAAATCCAATACTAATTGTAATTTTATCCCGTTTTTCTAGGATTTATACTTTTTTAGCCTCCCTTCAGTGGGTAATCATTGTACTATCGCATTTCTAAATATGGTAATTCTTTTATCGTTTCTACGAACGTGCGATGTAAAGATCCATAAGACAGTACATACAAACCATTTTCTAACATAATGTAAAATATTTTTTCCTTTCCTTTTTGATAAAATAGCATGTGCCATTTCTTTTTCAGTATGTTAGACGTATAAGGTGACGGTATGCAGTCTTGAATATTGAATTTTACTTACCTGAAAGGTGAAACATGGCATCGAATACAGTCTCAGAACCCGATAAATTACCACATTTTTTATTTCAAACAAAACGAAATGCGATCACAGATGATTATGAAGTTAGAACTGAAAAATTGGGTGCCGGTATTAATGGGCCCGTTTATGCCTGTTTTGATCGTCAAACAGGACAAAAATGTGCTCTTAAAATTATTAAAGATTCCGCTAAAGCTCGACGAGAAGTTAATTTACATAAAAAAGCCAGTGAATGTCCATACATTGTTCATGTAATTGAAATTTACGAAAATAAACATTCAAAACAACGATGTTTACTCATCGTTATGGAATATATGGCCGGTGGAGAATTATTTAATCGAATAAAACGGATAGGTGTTGAAGGCTCATTTACTGAACGTCAAGCTGCTAGTATCGTACATTCAATATGTAAAGCTGTACAATATTTGCATTCACTAAACATAGCACACCGTGATTTGAAACCAGAAAACTTATTGTTTACATCCAATGACGAAGGTGCTGCTTTGAAACTGACAGATTTTGGTTTTGCTAAAGAATGTTCAGATTCAGTAAAAACGCTACATTCACCCTGTTATACATCGTATTACGTCGCACCAGAAGTATTATCCAAACAAAGCTATGATAAGGTGCGTTATTGGTAGATGATTTTTTCCTTTATAAGAGCACATTTTTGTCCTTTCTAGTCTTGTGATATATGGGGATTAGGTGTGATTACCTACATCGTTTTATGTGGTTATCCACCATTTTATTCTCTGCATAATGCACCCATAAATGGACCCATGAGTCCTGAAATGAAAAGAAAAATTCGTGCCGGTGAATATAGATTTCCAGATAGTGATTGGAATACAGTATCACGTGAGGCAAAAGATCTCATTCGAGCAATGCTCACAGTCGAACCAGAAAGCAGACCAACTATTGAAGAGGTATTACAAAGTACATGGTTATCAAAATTCGCTGAAAAAGTTCCAAATACATCACTGAATACACCAGCTGTATTAGTCGAACAATCAGAACAATGGACCGATGTTGGCGCGGCCATTCGTGAAACAAACGCTTACAATCGAATGCTTAGTGTAGAAAGTGAAGTACAAGAAATTTCACTTGATAATAATTTGCTATTTAGACGAAGGCAAAAACGTCAAAACACAGCCACATGATGATTTTTCAATATTAGAATAATTTCTAGGAAAAATTATAACTGAAAATATTGTCAAAAATCAATGTTTTGTGCTCAAATGTTTTTTGATTTTGACGATAATTGCTCGTTGAATAATATCGAAGTTTCAAAAGTTAAAAAAATATCTTTCTGCTACTTTGACACGCGAAAAGCCTAAAATTTAACTGGTCTCGAGAAACCTCTTTCGAGATCTTTTTCCTTGACAAACTGTTCAACTTTTTTATTTTGTATAATAAAAGAAAATGTTTTGGATCTGGATTCGAGTTGAAATATGAATAACGAATAATATTCAACGCATCTGTAGATTTACATTTCAGTCGTGCATATTTTGGCTGAAATTGACTATATATACATTTCCAAAGGATGAATAAAGAATACATCCATGATTTCAGTGCATATTTTCATAAATATCTTTTTAACAAACAATAAATGGACATGTACTAAGTTTTTTTTTATGGAAAATGACTCCTGGTCAAACTTTAATTGAATATTCAATAATTTTAAGAGCACATGTATGTTAGCCATTCCATGATTTGCCTCCGTTCTTCCAGTACGTCGAGCTGCTTTAGTGCCGATAGATGGACAAACCGTTTGAATAATATATTGAATTCGTATTAGTTTTCGTAAGTTCAATTAATTTTAACTTTTTTTAATTTTATGCTAATAGAACGCACGATTCAAGGCCTTTTGAGTCATCGCAACCGTTCACTAATGATTGATTGATGATCAATTCAATGTCTACATTGTTTATTAGATAGATTCAAAGCTGTTCGCTATGTCTACAATTTCTCATTAAATTCAGCATGATTTTAAATGTCCAGCTGCAACATTCCTAAGGTGCTGAACAAAAAGCGAGAGTGAATGTGAACTAAAATTTGAGAAAATGACCATAATTCAACAATTCAATGTCGAGAATTATGATTCAAAATAGAAAATTGTAGACAAAGCGGACGCCAGTCGACAGATTAACAAAATAGAAAGTAAAATAGATGAAAATTTAGAAGTTCAACAAATTACTGTAGTCTGTGACTTTTGTTGGGCAAACATCATTAACATTTTATTTAATATTAGAAATATTTTATTTTTGAAGTTGTTATTTTTATGATCACCGCTATTTAAGCCATATTCATATCCTGGTGAGATTGCCACATCTTGGTACTATTCTCTTACGTTCTGCCTATACAGTATACGTTGTCTATATGGCCAGGTGTGGCAATTTCATTAGGATGTGACTATACTTCATCACGATTCAATCGTTATCAGATAAATGTATGAAGATAAGGCTGGCGATTTTTGACAGATAGACAACAATGGATTTTGAGGTAGCTCGACTAAAATGTACTGTTTTATAGAGTATTCAGATTACCTGATCAGTCTACGCAAGATTCTTGACCGTTTGTAAATGATACGAGGTACTACGAGGGTTTATCCTCGTCGTCATAAGTCATTAGATTTTGGTCTATGTTCAAACTGAGTAAGTCAAGTCAAAATTCCTCAAGTTCAAGTCAAGTCAAGTCTGACTTGACTCGCCTGGACTTGGTCAAAATATTTTTGGGGTCACCTCGACTTAACTTGACAATTTTTTTAGTGACTTGTAAAATCTCTGACTTACCCAGCTCTGGTCTATTCAGCTTTCATGTAGTTACCCAGATCTGTTGCGATGGTACTTTGACGTTTCAGGAAGATCTTGAAAACCTATACGGTCAAATAAGTTGTAAAAAAATGAAACTTATAAAGGGGTTTTCTGTGAAACCCACAGAAATCCGTCTAAGACCTTGTTGAGCACTTTAAAAAGTGGCTAGTTTGTTGAGCTTTCCAGCCTGAATCGAATGGTTTATTTCAAAATGTTATTGTGTGCGCTTAAGTGAGACAAGAAAAATGAACTTTAAAATAGAATTTGCAAAGAGATCTTTCTGAAACCTCCTAAAGTCGCATTGCAAACTTTTTCAAGCAATACCAACTACTAGGCTTTGTTCAGTTTTTCGAGCTCTGTTGAATGGCATGTCTTAAAATATTCTTGCACCTTCCGAATTGCACATTCCGATTTATTTGCTAAATGTGCGGCTGGATGCACACTATGCGGACTGGTCGTATAAAAGTGGAAGAGCCGTCGTGGAAACATTCCGTGGTAGCTACAGTGGATATTCATTCCGACTATAATATTCAAAACAAATATTCTAGAAAAAGTATATTCACAGAATTGACGGCATATTCAATTACTGATTGAAATCAACTAATCGACTTAGACTTTTTAATAGATTCATAAACATCGATGCCACTTAACGGGGAAACCTATCCAACTAATACCTTCCGATTTCGTTCGTTCATACATCGATCGATAGAGGGTATCGAGCTAGTAAAAGGCTTAAAAGGATTTTCCCCCATGACTCTTGAAGACCCGGTTTTCTGGAAAACCAGTTTTTCAAAAACTCTAAAAAATAATCAAAACGTTTCTTAATGAGGTATAATTGTAGCCCCCAAATTTCTGATTAGAATGAGACGTCTCCCAGCTCTACACGACTTTTCTTTGCAAAATTATACAATTTACAAGAAAAGTCCTAAATGTTCATTGTCAGCTCAAAGCTACAGAAATAGGAAGAAATTAATTTAGGGCTTTTCTTGTAAATTGTATAATTTTGCACAGAAAAGTCGTGTAGAGCTGGGAGACGTCTCATTCTAATCAGAAATTTGGGGGCTACAGTTATACCTCATTAAGAAACGTTTTGATTATTTTTTAGAGTTTTTGAAAAACTGGTTTTCCAGAAAACCGGGTCTTCAAGAGTCATGGGGGGAAATCCTTTTAAGCCTTTTACTAGCTCGATACCATCTATCGATCGATGTATGAACGAACGAAATCGGAAGGTATCACTTGGATTGGTTTCCTCGCTAGATATACGTAGAAATGTTAAACGATAATTGTATGGACTGATTCTTAGAAGAGCTAAAATGAACATCGTCTGTAATTAAACACCCAATTACTACTTTCTGATGGATACGATATTTTATGCAGCAATATTAAAGGAATTATCTATGATAACGTTTACAGTGTGTTTTCTTTTTTAAATACCAAAAAAATATTAGCTTTTTTATTATCAACAACCATGAAATAAATGTATTTTTTATCATATATTCGAAAGCAATAAAAAACGAACTGCTAAAATTAGAGAAAATTAAAACAACATCATTTTATTAGTTACTCTTACTATATATGTATAAAAAAAAACAGTTAATTTATCATTTTGGCTGTGTATCGTTGAGACAGAAAGAGAGAGAAAATGAAGATATAAGAAAAATTCAGTATCTTTTAGATTATTTATTCAATTTTACTTTATCAGAAATGTCGGAAGAGATTTTCTAAAATTTTGTAATATACTCTGGGATAAATATGTACAATTAGCTACACCGCAGGAGAAAATGAAGAATGAAGAAATGTCTAAAACAGTTTTAAACAGTAAATTAGAAAAATATGAGTTCATTTTTTTTTTATCACACTGATAAAAGCTAAAAACAACACGTCTCATATTTACAATATGCCTGATTATCTTTTTTGAAATGCAAATCTTTTTATGCAATTAATATTATCAATGACTGAAAAAAAACGGAAGCGCATCTTTGTATCATAGGCATCAATTATCATTGTCTCTCTGGTTATTTCGTTTGTCGAGTAGACCGTTTGTTTTTGTTTCGTTTCGTTGATGATGATCATAGGATGGAACGGTACAAGAAATAATTTTTGAGATTGTATTATTATGATGACGATGATTGTTCGATATAGAAGGTAATGATGAGTTATTGTTATTATGACTCAATGTTGAAGAGTGGACGTGTTTGACACCATTTTGTGAAGATAATGAGTGTGGTATAGAATTGGCTGATGAAGCATTAGTTATTCGTTGTTTATGTGAGAGTAAATCGGCTTGAGAATGAGAACGATTAAAATCGGTACGAATTTTGATAACGGGAGCCGTGGTACGACGTGAGGGTGGATAATCAGCAGATTGTTCTATTGTCTAAATAGAAAAATACCATAGTTTATCAATTTTTATTTAATATTTATACTTTAGTCTCTCACTCTAGAGCCTATAGCCGATCATCTTGTACCTTTTATATACACTACCATTTTCGAACTTAAAATGAATAACTACCAATAATACTCTCTTACCATATTATTTGATCTACTTTTTGAATTCATCGGTAAAACATTGCTTGTATCAGTTGATGGATTTGTTCGTCGACTTGCACCCTAAAAATTATATATATATAAATATATACACTGTATTAGTTTAGAATAGTCAGATAACAACTGATCTTACTTTGATATTTTCAATTATTTTATTTGTTCGAACATATAATTTTGTTTTGTCAGTAATTTGATGAATTTGTTGAGATGATTGTGTGACTAATGGATTTCGTGTATTTGATGGTATTAAACTTGAAATGGTTGGTACAACTGTATTAACAACAATAGTATCGGGTATTTCATAAATTATTGATGATTCATTATTACCAAGTAATGGTAAAGAATGATTTGTACTCGTATCAGATGGTTGAGAATTTGATGAATCTTGATTCTCTGCAGTCGTACGTTGTTTACGTTCATTTTCTTCTTGAAATTCTTTCATTAATGTAATAATGTCTTTATTTGGACGACCACCAGAACGTCCCTAAAAATACATAATTTGTTTGTTCTCAAGACATTACGATAAGACAATTAAATATACATACGGTCAGCCAAGGATGTACAGTTAATTCTCCCATTGTTTTTCTATGTACAGTATCATAAACAAGCATTCCTTTCAAAAATTCTAAACCTAAATCAATAATAAAAAATGACAAATATAGAAAAATTTGTTTTATCATTTATATACCCTCATCTGATAAATCATGAAATGGTCCATCATATTTTGGTTTATATTGTTTAATAACTTCAAGTAATCTTTTTTCATCACTCGCCTGATAAGGATGACGTCCCGATACTCTAAAAAATAACAAATTATCATGTAAAATTTTTTATTGTAACCTGTTGTTATACCTACAAATAATACATAATAACCCCAAGTGCCCATACATCACAGAGAGCACTATAGTTTTTGTTTTCGAGTATTTCCGGAGCCATATATCTAAAAAATAAACAAATTAATTTCTCTTTTTTTTTTTAAATTCAATAAATAACTACTCACAATGGTGTTCCACAATATTCATTGAAGAGTGTATCCGTTCCTGTAATACTCTTTTTAGAACTTAAACCAAAATCTGTTACCTAGAAAATACAATTGTCAATTTTTATGATATATTTTGAATTTATCTATACCAACTTTAATATCAAAGTCATCCATTTTTGTTTCAACAGGATTCTTCAATAGAATATTTTCTAATTTTAAATCACGATGAACAATATCTATACAATTTTAGAATAAAACATTTATTAAATTAAAATTATAAGGTATCAATATCAACGTTCTAATAAATATTCTTTTTTTTTTTGTTGTTGTTGGATTTCTATCTACTTTAATCTTACCCATTTTATGTAAATAATAAAGTGCATGAACGAGTTTTGACATGATTTTTTTTACTGTTTCTTCAGGTAATGCACCATTTTTCTTCACAAACACACCCAGTTCACCTCCTTCACACAATTCAACGATTAAATACAGTGTCTACAATATAATACAATCAAACATAATTTTACTCTATATTAACTATTTAACTTACTTGAGCTGATTCTAATACTTCTTCAAGATGTATCAGATTTGGATGATCTACTTCTTTCAATAATTTGACTTCATTATCAAGACTAGTTGCTTTTGATTTATTACCAGGCTAAATGAAATATAATTACTATTACAAATGTCTATGTAGATGATGAATTCAGTTACTCATACTTTTTTCCCGATTGTTTTCATTGCATAAAATAAATTATTTTCCTTATTTTTTACTCTAAAAACTGTTCCAAAGCTACCTTCACCTAATTTATCCATTAATTCATATCTATTACTTAGTGTAGCATCATCATACAATCTCACATGTTGAATTGGTCGTGGTGATTGATTATTTTTATGATGTGGTCCTTTTGCCATACGTCCCTGTCTGAGATGAATGATAAAGAGACAACCAAAACATAAAATAATGAACAACCGACTTAGATAATGCACCAGAACTGAAATAAAAACTTAAGTACTTAAGCTTAAAGTGAACGAAGAAAAAAATATAGAAAACGTAGCTATACTACCTTATGTCTGGAACATAATTAAATGTCCTCAGCCAAAACATTCATCTAGGTTCAACGTTGTCTAAATAAAAAAAGAGCAAAGAAGCCTTTCTAGTTAATAAAGTAACTACAATTCCTTTTTTCCCGTAATTAATCATATTGATGTTATAAAAATATTTTGTCACAGCGCAAATATTAACAAAAACAACATTGTCAAAGACTTTTTTTTCATTAAAGACAGCTGGACTAAGAAAAGAAATATTTACCAATCGCATTATTCGATAAAAATAACTTACTAAAGAAAAAAAATACATTATTCTGCCTTCTTAAAAAGAACAGTGTTTCAACGTTAAATGTAGAGTTCAACTAGTTTTTTAAAATATCAGTTTAAAAAATTTTTTAATGAGTTTTACACTGTAACCCCGGCTAAATATTAACCCTTTTTTGCCTTTGGCTAAACATGACGGTTCTGTAGGACAATAGAGATGTGCAGGATGACCCTACCCTATCCTGTCCTATTAGAGTAGGGTAGGGTGCAAATTTTATAGAGTAGAGTAGATTAAGGGTACGAAACATTTTTATAGGGTAGGGCACAGGTTGAGACGTTTGTCATAGACTGTACCCTATGAGACAAAGAACGCTTAGTATTGCGAGACATTCGCTAGTTCATTATAAAATGGTCCCTATAGGGATCATAGGGCAAGAAAGGGTTAAGAAGACATGTCAGAATGATACAGGCATGATATTAAAAACAACATTCTTGGATCTTAATAGCCCTGCATAAAAAAAACTTTACTATGACACTATTAGTATTAATAAGTGTTGAAATACCATTAGTGTTGCACAGTGTCGATCTATCTATCATTAAAAAAGAAAAGTTTCATACTGACTTTTGTCATCACATTGAAGTTTTATCTAGGAAGTAATTTGTTTTGTGTTTTACTTGTTTTTACTTAATTTTATATTAATCAGAGTGCGGCACTGGTTCTACACGATCATATGGTTTTTTTCTGATAAGAAGCAAAAGATGAGGTGACTAAGACATTCGACATATTGTAAGTCTTCTGTGACGTTTCTATAGACAAACGTTGACAAACGAAAACGATGATTGAAAAATAAAATTTGGCACCAGTACACACACTCGCGTCGATAAAGCAAAAAAATTTCTTATTTCAGGAGTCGAGTTGTTCGGTATGGATGGTGGGATGCTCATGCATACCGTTGTAAGTAAAAGATGTTTTGTAGGAAGTACTTGTGTAGAAAATATCTGATGTCTTAGAAATATATTTGAATCAGTGTTGACTTACGCTATTTTTATCGTCCTATTTGTTATGTTAATGCTTCCTCAAAACTAAATGAAGATTAAAATACTAGAACGTATAACGAAAAAAACAAATCTAAATTCAGATTTATTGTATAAAAAGAAAAAAGTTCGTTTCTTTTCTTTTACGGCAAATGCAAACATAATCTCTTGTTATATTTCTCTTCTCTCCTCTGTTTTTCTGTTGTTATTTATTCAATCAAAATTAAACTTTTTCTTTTTTTTACGCTCCTCTGCAAAGATGAAGTTCAATTCATGATTTTTCTCTTTCGTATTGTTGTTGTAACTAAAAATTACTCAACAACCACTTAGCGTATGGCTAATGTCGTTAAGAAAACAACATTTTTAATTTTCAACAATTATACACGTTTGTGATGTCAAAAAATGAACACACTTCTTATATGTCATTTTAACTTTTCATAAATACATTCCTACGATGTTTATTCATATTAATTTGTTGTAGATCAACGATACACATACGTAAATGAGAAAAGGTTACAATTACAGACACCTACGGCTGATATTTAATCCTATATTTTGGTTACAAAAAATGCCGTTGAGATATTTTCGGTTCAAACTTTGAAAAATAATTAGTAAAAAGAAAGATAATCAAACGTTTAAATATTTTCTTTCAATTTTCTACACGAGAATTGGAGTACATATCTTTTATAACACCCGTTTACATAGAATAATTTACTAATAAATCAAATGGATCGAATCTAAATTGTACGTTTATCAGAATCTCTCTTTCTTACGTCGAATGAACACTTTAGTCATCACAGTTAAGATAGACAAGAACAGTCGAAAGTATAATTCTATCCAAGATAATGATTAAAAGCGAAACTCGCTCTGAAATCGGACAGTGACTTATGTAGAATATATTTGTACACTATTTGAAATTTTAATCAGAAACATATTAGTGCAAAGAGCAAGCGACTCCACTAGATTAGCCGCTTTTCATATCATCAAAATGTTTTGAAAAAAAATGAATCTTTTTCCAGCTAGATGATCATAGCCCATCGCAAGAACTCATTTTTTTTTGCCAGTTAATAAGGCTAACTTATAAGTAACCCAATGACAATACAAGTGTCCAGATTTCTATTCCGAATAACTAGATGATTCTGTCAACGTACGCGTGAATCAACATCCAAGCGGAAAAACACTTGTATTACTCCACAATATTTTCTTGTTTTTGTAGCCAAAAGGTAAACAAAACAACACAAAAGTATTAGCAGTAAAGTGAAAAAGTAATTACTTTGAAAGAATACTTTCGGTACAGCCAAATAAAATATCGAACGATCAAATCGGATTTACATGTCTCATAACCTCGAGGAGAAAAAAAAGAAAATCATTGAGACAAAAAATAAAAAACAATTGATAGCCATTAATATTGCTGTCAGTATCGAGTTACCATCGTTTGCTCTACATTTTTGCAATTCGTATAAGGTCGTAACGATCGGAAAGTCTTCATTTTATCGCTTTTCTGTGGTAGTCTGGATAACTTCTAATATTATAAAGTTATGCCGGTGTAGCCAATAGATGTCGATATTGCATGGTGTAGAACATCATCTAAAGATAACATGCCAACGTATTGATTTTCATATTTTGCTGACAAGTAATAAATCAATGACGAAAACGAAGTTAGAATTTTGTATTATTCTGTTCTGTTCGATCTCGATTGATGTTTGATTTGCAGTTAGAGATCTTTGAGCGAGCTCCCACCTGTAAATCAAAGAGAAAAAATTTCAAACCCAGAACTAATCCTTTACCTCGCGACCTCGCATACTCGATTCTGATAAACAGTAAGCTTCTTTGATTCGGAATATATTGTGAATATCGGAATGTTAGCATTGTTTCTGATTGGATAATCTGAGGGACGATTACTAATAAAAATAGAGGATTGTAAGAACAATAATTTGAGAACCTTCTATGATATAATTTGAATTGCATTTTTTAGTTCGAGATAAGATTCCATTCCTTGAAAAAGTGATTCTTGTCTGAGCAAATTTATCATTGATCTCTTATTTTAAATTTGCTTGTAGCTAAGCTCCGCTCCCAATAGTCAATGCTATAAATATTTTTGATTTGTTTATACCGTTTTCGAAACGTTGTCTTCCATAATAATTGAGCAGGAAACCGCTTTGGATGAATGTAAAAAGAAGTTCTTTTATATAGGAGCTACTTTTTCTTCTTGACCCCATTAATTTTGGTTTTTTAATATCTACTTCTCCACTTCTAGATTTGAATAGATCATGAATCACGATCTAGACGGTCTATTAGAATTTTTACTTTATGTTGGTCAAGCTAAACGTACATTTCGTACGGGTTGGGTGTTACGAGGTGTGGAAAAGGTGGAAAGCGTTGCCGATCATATGTATCGTATGGCCGTTATGAGTCTATTATTACCAACCGTTTCAGAAGAAAGTAAAGTGAGATGTATGAAACTGGCATTAGTTCATGATCTTAGTGAGAGTGTTGTCGGTGATTTAACCGAATTTGATGGGGTACCAAAAACAGAAAAACGTCGCCGAGAAACAGAAGCTATGTTATATCTAACTAGTTTATTGCCCGCAGATGTTGGGCGAGAAATATTTTCATTATTCAATGAATATGCTGATCAAAAAACAAATGAAGCACTTTTAGTGAAAGATTTAGATATATTCGATATGCTATTACAAGGTTCGTTATTAGTCTTCTTGTTTTATGCATGTGGTGTGAGTGAAAAGTCAATCTAAAATTTAACTAGGCAAAACTGAAGTTTAGTATATACATCCTAGCGAAATAGATTCCAATTTTAACTGCAATACATGCATCATCGTACTTCGCATAACTGTTTAGTTTAATCTACGTTTTGTTTTGTTATGTGTCTATTTTCAGCTTATGAATATGAAAAATTACAGGATGAACCATTGTTTTTACAAGATTTTTTTAATAATTCTGCTCATAATGTTAAAACAGAAAATGTTCAACATTGGCTTGGACAATTAATGGATTGTAGAAACTCTGGAAAACAATTTCAATTACCATCGGATTCAAATTTAAATACAATACTTAAACATATTTTATATGATGAACAAGGTGAGAAAGACGATGTTTATTTTCTCGTGTGATGTCTAAATAAACGCTTGTAAGAAAAGAAAATTGCAGTTTGTTGAAAAGAGTGTACCTAAAGATATGAGAGCAGAGCTAAATTAGAATTGTTATCTAATCGTCATTCAGACACATGTTATTAATAAATAGTTTATTAATCGGAGAAATTTAACAGACAAGGTCTCATTGCAGTCGATATACTACAATTGATGTTTTTAGTTTCTCGATAGGATTTTATAGTTTATAATATGGGGTCATTTTCTGTTGGATTTTAGGTTATTTCTTGTATAATTTACCTGGAAATGATTTACGAAGTAAAGCTGATCGTATTGCTGATCAACGTAAACAACAACAAAAAGAGAATTCAAGTGTTGATACAACCGAATTGTTATCAAATCTTGTTAAAGGTATGCAAGCACATGAAATTAATTGTGCATCCACTAATGATACAACAACTGCAACGACTACCGATTCGACAACTACAACATCACAACAAAGACGAAATAGTAGAAGAAATTCTGATGAACGAAAAAAATTCATACATCATAGATAGACTTGTTTTGTAGATAATACAGTGCTATAATACGTTTTTATGTACAAACTGAAAAATTTGTTTTTCTCTTCTGATAAAACATGACATTTTTATCGTTCTGAATATTACTGGGCTTGCTTTCTTTTGTTTTTAATGTATATATATTTAAACTATTATTGTTGTTTTTTTTTTCACTTTTGATCATGCTCCTAGATATTGTGAACAGTTTGTTAATACACGAAATTATTTGGCTAGCTTTAGAATATAATTTTTTTGCTCAATATACATTACAACTTCTTCTTTCAAAAAGACGAAGTTCTTATTTGTAGATTTTATTGTAAATGGTATGTTTATTTGTACACCAATAATAATTATATTTTTTGTTTTGTTTGTTTTACAATTTTTTTTTTAATATTTATGTTGCTGTGTTATTGTAAATATATTTTATCTCTATTATACGCATATATCTTAGACGCGAATGACCGACGATAATCGTGCGCTTACAAATTTTACAGATTTACTTTAAATTCTGCAATAGACATCTTGTCTGTTTATTTACAGAGTTGAAAAGTCCGTACTCAAACTTTTTGGAATCTGACGGTTAACTTTTTCAGTAGTTCTATCGTAGAACGTTATTCATTAGCTCTACTGTTCAAGAATAAGTTCTTGATGCTTTTGTTGAAGTGACCCCCCTCAACCCTCAACCCTTTCGAAAACTGTTTTCGGTATTCGGAATGATCTCGAAAACTCCTTTCCGTATCTGAGAATATACGTAGCGTAGAGAAATTATCAGTTTTGTCTATTGTATTTAGTGAGGTTGACGGTGTCCTCAATTTACTGTTCTAATTCTACGTTTTCATCGCTTATATAGTGGAAAAATCGAGTAGAATGTACAGTATTGTGCAAAATTAGGGATAGCAGGCACTGTTAATTTCCGTTTCCTTTGCTTTTCTTAGCATTAGTTTTCAAAAATAAAATAATTACACGAATAAGTGCATTAAAGTGTGCTTCATCCGAATATGTTATTGACAAATTTTCACAACTTTATTTTTACGGAAAAAAGTTTATGGTAAAAAGAAATGTAGTTTTGCCTGTGCTAAATTATAGAGACAAAACTTTTTTTGTATAAAATTACTAAAACAAATTTCAGTATTCCGCTGATGTCCCGTCATTTACACTAATACAAGCCTGGAGACGACGAGGCATCGATTCAACCAGTTTTTGACACGTTACTGGTTCAATTTTATACCAAATTTCTTTGATTAATTGTTCAAGAGAATCAAAAAGAAAAGAGAAGTTAAAAATATCCGCTGTTCCTATAGTTTTGCACAATACTGTATTCATCTAACGCGTTATTTGACGAAATCTACCAACAAATTCGAAATATAGAATACCTGATTTCATGAATGCTACGTTTTCGTAGTCTCGTGAATTTTTTATCTTTTTTCTATTTTTAGAAGATAGATGATCGCTAAGCTCGTAGATTTGCCACTTGAATTATTAGAATAGCTGCTTGTTTTATCAAACTATCAAGAGCAAATGAAACAGAGATTTACTGCCATAAATAACAACTTTTTTATAATTCAAAAAGTAGAATTAATTCTGTATAGAGTCAGAATTTATAACAGAATATAATACATTGCCAGTTTTGTACTATATTGTACTAAGACGACCAGAAGTATAAGTATTATTACCCTCGGGTTTTCCATAATGTGAATGAAAATTGTTGAGGATGTTGTATAACATTTAATTGCAGAAATCTATCAATAGAGTTAGCATTTTACGGTTAGTATTGCATTATTTTACTGAGTAAAGTGTATGAGTGTGATAAAAAAATGATCTTGCTTTTGATGTGTTGTTCGGGGTACAAAGAAGATTGTAGTGGTAGAATCTCATTAAGATTTCAATATTGTTTTTACAACTATTCGTCAAAATATTTATCGAAATTGAACGTACATTTCATGGATAAATATATCTAATGAATTTAATATACTTTTTCCAAATGTCTGCTTTTCTTTATAAGTACAGTTTTGATATATTTTTTTAATCATTCAATCCAAGTTCATAATGAATATTGCTTTATTTTTCATTATCTAATCGACTTTTCGCAGATTTTAACTACAAAATTAACTGCGCGAAATAATACTGTTAATAGTCATCACACACGAATTCAAAGATGTACATAAGTAAAGATTATTGATCTCACATTTTAGATCTATTTACGTATAGATATTATTATTTTTTTGTTTAATTCTGCTCGTATTTATTCATCAATTATCAGTTAAAATTTAAATATTTTTTTATTTTTGCGTTTAAATCTAATATTTAATTGTCTGATATGATTTTGTGTTTATTTAAATTTAATTAATGACTCATTCTCAACATCGTACACAAGTACCAGATGATAATTTGTATACTTTAAATACTTATCTAGATAATGTACCGTTTTTATTCAATAAAAAATATATACCTATCAATGTGGTAAGAAATGTCTAGGAAAGACTAATAGATGTTTGTAGTGTATCTAAAATTTTTCTCCCTCTTATTTTAGCCTGACCATGATATACCCGATTACGATACAAGAAAAGTTCAAGAAATTTTAACCAGACCGGTATGTTGAAAAACATCAAAGCGAATGAGAACTTTATCATATTTTTTTAATGACTTGTCGCTAGAATGTGCTGATATACAAAAATGAACGCATATTTTTCTGGTTATTTTCAGTGTAATTTCACATTAGAGAAAAAGGTATTACAAGAAGCGTTAGATGATGTAAGACGGCGAAGATTAGAAATTGAAGCCGATGGTTCTAAAAGACTGAATGCTACCACAACGTTACCACAAACGGGCACAAAGTATATATAGATCAATTTGTACTTGTTTCTATAATTAGAGATTTCTCTCTGGCATCTTTCAGTTTAACAGTAACTGCCAATGAACAACAACAGAATCTTGAGATAGATCCGCATCAATTAGTCGAAATTCAAACACAAAAGCGACAACGAGCAATAACAACTACCAGTATACCATCATTGACACATTATTTGCCTACACCAACATCTAATCAACAACATCACCGTCACTCTGCACCACCACCACCACAGATTCCACAACAAACTTCCACTATGTTTCGCTTACCCTCTGTGCGTGATATCTATTGGCCCATGGGGCAAAATTACGCTCAACAACAACCAACTGCAATCCCCACTACACTGTTGAGAGCATCCCAAACCATATCAAACGGGAGTACAACAGATGGACATGTTTTAAATCAGCTAGGACAACTTAATGTTGAAAATTTGTCATTCAACAATTGTGATGAAAAACACATGCTAGTTTCCAATACAGTACCCTCATCTTCTGTGACAACTACACCAACGTAGGATTCATCATTTTTGTTGAAATAATTGACACACAACTATTATATTTTTTAGCTCATTATCGTCCACATCGTCTTCAATATTGAATCCAAAATTGACAGACGCTATTATTTCTTCTAAAACTACTACAAATCAAGCTAATGTTAGTGATTTATCAACATTTGATCCTTCTCTGTCTGATACACATGATCCGTTTCATGAAGCCGAATTAAGATCAATTGATGACGCTGTAGCACTCAGACAGTTGTATACGATAACATCACAGACAGCAAATACAATAAGAAGATAAAAACTGTTGTTAATATTGTGAAACACTTTTTATGCTGTGATTTGAGCAAATCTGAAATAAATCAATTAACAATCACTGAGGTTTTTCTTGAATAGAGAGACATGATAAGTCACTTTGACTGATATTCGATATCATATTCTGTGTGAACGGTGAATTTCTCATTCTGAATTCTTTGAAACTTGTTGAATGCTGCCTCATCGCTTATTTTCTAGTTGCCAAAATTTGATTTCTTTCTGTAGTTTGGCTATTCGGCTTTTTCTCAACTCTGTTTCTTTTTTCCAAATAAATGTATTTATTTTTATTGTGCTGATTGTGTTATCTACATATAATAATGATGATGTGATATGTAATATAAAAAAGTCATTTTTCTATCTAACGCTATGTCGTCATTGAAATTTGCAAATGTTCTTTTCTTTTTAATTATTTTTTTTATAAAATAAAATAAACATAAAATTTTTTTTGAGAATATAATTTGTCTATCTATAATCGGCTCCATGTTGACAATCACTATGTCGCGCTTATAGCTTTAGATAGAAAAAATATTTTATGAACCCTATTGGACGGATCAAGAGAACTGAAATTTCTATTCAAAATTCTTTCAATTTTCTGATAGACAGATTAACATAGCCTTCCAGGTAGAAAAAAGTAAAGCAAGGAAATCTAGTTTATCAAATAGCTCAAGCGCCCGTTTAATCGTAGCTTTTTGGGTTAAATAGCTAGCTGCGCCGAACAAGTGCCCGTTTGCTAGCTGCAAGCGGCCGATCCAGTGGGCACTTAATTGAGCGATTAACGTCGAATTCAAACACATCAGCTAGCTTCAACTCACTTAAGCTAGCTTCGATGGGTTAAAAATTGGGTCAGGTAGCTGCAAAGGCCCGCTTCATGATTTTTTTTTCTGCTTAGGATAGCTATATAGAGTGAATAGAGTGACAGAAAGAGCAGACAGGCTATTGTTTCTAAGTATTGTTGTGATGTAACGAGTGTGCCATAATAAACTGGACTAAATATTACTGCATTTTTTTCTCCTGGGAAATGGGATATCCACAGGTCTGGAAGACCACAATGCCGTTGTTTTAAAATGTTTTGAACGTGATATTCGTCATCAAGAGCTCGAGTTGTGCTAGTTTTGGTACTTTCGAACTGTTGGGATAAAGTCAATGTAAACAAACTCTGGTACACTTTAAAAAGAATCACCCAGCGAGAAATCAGTTAGTATTATTGATTAGTGTCCATTATTATATTATATTTTGCTATTTTGCTTCTTACAGTTCGAAAGTAAGATTTCTGCCTTCAGAAATATGGCCGAAACAGATGACTGGTCGACTTGGTCTGGGCATGTTTTGGCAAGGCTTCTCAAAATGTAAATGAGAGACACTGCGACAAAGGAGTAAACACCAAGTGCCATATCGGATTTTGTAGCAAAATGTTCGGGCTTTCTTTATGGCTACATTAGATTTTTGCTTATTAACGTTCAGCGGGTAGACTTCTGCAGAAGATTAAAAATAACGTTCGACGAGAAACAAGTTGTTTTCTCGATTTCAGAAGGTTTTCATCAAAATAACCAGGAGTATATTTTCCTCGTATATCATCCTATAAGAGGTATAAGAGGTAACTTCGAGTCATGGCACTAGTCAGGTCTCGGCAAAAATCTAATGTAGCCATAAAGAAAGCCCGAACATTTTGCTACAAAATCCGATATGGCACTT